TTTTGTGGAAGTAGGCGTCCTACAAATTGATGGCCACAAAGCAATTTCCCTGTGATAGAAGAAGGATAATGGTATCAAGAGTTAGCATACGGAATTTTCTAGGATGTATAAACTTGTTAAGTTGTCTCAGGTCCAGAATGGGTCAAAGACCTCAATCTTTTTTAGGTACTGTGAAATAACGGGAGTAGAACCCCTCATTTATGTCAAATGCTGGTACTCTGACTATAGCACACTTTTGGAGGACTGATGATTATTTCCTCTTCTAGTGCTAGTGAAAACAGTGTACAGTGGTGCCTCGCTAGACAATTGCTTTGCATAACGATGAATTTGCTTTACGATGAGGTTTTCGGAGCGATCTTGCACTTCATATAACGATGTTTCCTATGGGCGATTTTCGCTTTACGATGTTAGGGACCTTGCCTCGCAAGACTATTAAATTTTAGGTCAATGTTTTTCGCTTTACGATGTTTTTGACAGATTGCTCTTGCTTCGCTAGACGGGTCTTTTAATGGTTGCTGTTTCGTTAGACGGCTGTCTTCACTTGGGAAATGCGTTTCGCTTAATGATGTTTCCTATGGCGATTTTCGTTTTACGATGACAATCCGTTCCCATTGGAACGGATTATCAGGTTTTCAATGCATTTCAATGGGAAAACGTGTTTCGCAAGATGATGTTTTCGCTTAACAGCGATTTTCGCAGAATGAATTAACATCATCTTGCGAGACACCACTGTACTCTTGATGGGGTTTGGTGGTGGAATCCTAAAGAATTCAATAAGGTTGCCCTTTTCAATGATAGACAGGACCCATTTGTCAGTTGTTATCCGCTGCCATTCCGATAGGAATGGAGAGTCTCGTAGGGCTAGCTGAGTTGTAATGGTTTAGAGTAGTGTTTATCCCTTTGTTGCTGCTTATGAAAGGCACCCTGATGTTTTGAGGCTGTTGCTGTCTGAACTGTGGAAAAGAAGTATGCGTTGGTTGGTAAGGTCTTTCTTGAGGCTGCTGCTTATGTGTGCGAAATGGCTGATACTGATACTGTTGTTGTTGGCAGTATGGCTTTCTGTAAGAAGGTTTTTAATATCGATATGGCTCTTGTGGAACATACGACTTCACTGTCTTTCTCATCTTATGGATATTTTCCATCATGTCATCCGTTTGGCATTGAACAGACCAGTGGCATTGAATGGGAGATCTTCAATCCTAGCCTTGATATCGTCAATGATGTTAGCCAATCTAAACCAGGCTTCTAACGGCTATCGAGGTAGCCATGGTCGTTGATGCCATGTCTGCAGTGTGCCTCGCGGCCACTCTTTGTTGTTTGGCCAGAGTCGTAGCCTCTGTATATATGTTAAGCAGTTCTGGTTTTGTTGTTTCAGGTGCTGCTTGCAGCGTATGGAGTATCTTGTCCCATAAATGTCCTTGATAGATGCCCATAGCTGCCTTGTAGTTGGAAATCTGTAGTGCTGCAAGCGATTAGAGTTTCCTCCCTAAGGAGTCAATTTTGTGACCCTCCCTGTTTATCGGGGTCATTAATGACCTGTTGTGGGACTTGTATTGAGTGGACTCAACGACTATTGAGTTAGGTGTCAGGTATTTGAGCAAAAAAGCGCATCAGCACCATGCATCTTATAATGGTGTTCTACTCTGTGTGGCGTTTGCAGTGTTGAAGGTGGCTTATCGCATGATTCTCTGACAAGCTGGAGTAACACCGGTATGAGGCTCAAGCTAGGTGGAGGTGTCTTGTCTTGTTCCAGGTCATGGAACACAAGGTCCTTCTCTTGTTGAGATGGGAGTTGTGCATCAAGCTGCAGGATCTTAGCCATGCACAGTATGAGTTGAGCATACGATGTATAATCCTCTGAAGGTGATGGGGGATGATTATAAAGAGTGTCAGAGCGAGGGGCAGGGTGTTGAATCGTAGAGACATCCGATGATGATGAACCGTCATTCTGGGAGGATGTAGATGACTTGAGGGTGAACGGTCTGGACCCTCCATATGGGTTCTTGGTATGAAGTCATCATCTGGCTGTGTAGACTTTGAGACTGGTTCTACATCGTGTCTATGAGGTCCGAAATAGACGGTTGTTGTGTCTACCGTGGGTTGACCCCTAGTTTGTTTGGGTCATTTCACTGGCGCAGCAGTCTCTGGTGCTGCCATTCTCTTTCGTGACAGACTTTCTTGGGAGAGAGGGAGATCGCAGGGTCGAGGATGACTTGGCAGAGGAGATCTCATGGGAGAGTACCACGTTGACAGGGGTTATCTAGGTCCCCTGTAGTCGTGTTGGTAGCCATAGTCATAGTATTGATAAGGATGGTACTAGTTGAAGTAGTGGTGACCATAATACGGGGGACATTCAGCATGGCAGCAATGTTTTCCATGTCGATGAGATTGGTAAGGAGAGGTATGTCTACACTTCTCTGTTCTCTTTCTCGGGGAGTGTTCTGGAGACTCTGATTCAGACTACACACCGACATTTGCCTGTCCTGATGTTCAAGGACTGTAAGGGGCCGTGGCTGGGCTGGAAGGTACATCAGCCTCGATTGGCCTGAGCTCAGTGACATGCTAAGGATGGCATGTGGTGCCTGAGCTGAGCAGATCGTACGCTCCTCTCTGTCCGAGAGCGTCAGCGCATCTCTGGAGGACTCTTCTATAGGCAGTGGAGGAACTGTAATGGTTATTTACCAGTCTTCTTTTGCTTTTTGGTGTTATCCTTATCTTTTTTCTTCTTTGCAGGGTTATCTGACCGCGGCTGGGTCTTAGTAGTCGATTTAGATTTCTGTGATTCTTTAGACTTGGTAGGTATCGATGTTGTGCTAGCCATAGATTGGGTAGCTGGACTGGGTGCAGTTTTGGCCGTTTCTGGCCGAGGTGGGTTGGACGAAGGGGGGGGTCCCCACTTCCATATTTGCATTTAGAGTATTGTCATACAAAAAGGATCTCAGGCACTGAAGCCTCAGTTTAATAGCTGGTTTGGAGAAGCTTTTACATGCAGTACACAACTGAGTTTGGTGTCCGTCGGTCAAAGGGATTTTGCGGAGGCAAATGGAGCACCTCTTGAATCCCTGAGGGGCCATAAAACAGTGGAGGAATAGGGGGAAAGTCCCAGGGAAAGAAAGAGGGGCAGAAAAGACAGGAAGAGAAAAAAACAATGTCATATGGTAATAAAAAAGAATCTAATCGCTAAGGGAATAACTAAAAATGATTCTAACAAGAAATAACTAGAAGAAAAAACACTAATTAAGATGAAAACATTTGATTTACTTTCCTTATAGGAGCTCTACTGTTCCTGATGTTCTAACCAAACAGCGGAAAAAAAGGAACTGAGAGGAAGGTTGAGAAGGCGGAGCTTGTGCCCTAGGGGGGTATCTTAATTGTTACTCTTTTGTAAGCTCTAGAAACTTCTGAGACGTCATGCACAGGCGCAGAAGAAAACTCATTTGTGTGCATTTACAGAGGCCACTATGAAGAATGACAAACATATTTGTCAATTCATCAGAGAATATTCGTAAATTCATATTCGTTGATGAATCACAAATCACAATGATTTGCCATTTTTTAACTCGTTCCCATCTCTACTGGTAACAATAACATATCAGTTATAACAAAGTATCAGTAACCATAAGTAATAGTAATAAGCAACAGTAATGCTCTACTACTGTATTAAAGAAATGAGTATATACACAAGCTATATAGAGGGATTCAAATATGCCACTTAAAATATATCAAACAGAAGCAGTACACTGACTTTCCCATACAAATTCTATTCTGAGAAAAAAGCCGTTCAGGGATAACACATTTTCGTATTTGCACAGCTTATACTAATTTATACAAATATATGAGAAAGTTCAAAGTGTCCATAGATCCATGTTTCAAAATTTAATATCGGTTCATGAAAATTTCAAATCCAGAGAGGAAAGGTAAGAAAACTTGAGAGATTTGATCTTTGTGAATTTCATTATGAACTGAATAGATCGAAACTTACAAGTTTAATTTGTTTTATTTGTGCACTCTTCTGAACACTGGAATACAGCTTTCAGTTAAAAATTTTTTTATTTATTTCTTTTATTTATTTATTTATTTATACCCCTGGTTGATATGACCACTCTAGGCGGCTAGAATAAAACAAAAGAAAACAACTTAGCAAAATGTATTTCAAAGCACTTGTTCTGAGATACTTTTAAATGTGGATTTTGAGAGAAGTATTTCTTTAACAGAAACAGGTTGGCTCAATAACGCAGTCAGTTATCTGGTAAGTTAGGCTGGGAGTTTGATTCCCACTATGCATCTCAGAAGAGTCCAGCCTGTGTGGCCTTCGGCCAGCTGCGCAGTCCCAGGATTCCCCCAGTAGAATGGTAAACGACTTCTGAGTACTCTCAAGGAGCCTCGTGGCACAGTAATTAAACTGTAGTGCTGCAGCCAAAACTCTGTTCATGACTAGGGTTCAATCCCAGGTAGCCGGCTCAAGGTTCACTCAGCCTTTCCACCTTCTGAGGTCAGTAAATTGAGTACCCAGCTTGTTGGGGGGGTGGGCAATGTGTGGCCTGCATAACTAAATTGTAAACCATCCTGAGAGCATTACAGTGGACCCTTGACTTACAGACGGCTTGACTTACAGACTTTTTGAGTTACAGACTTCTCTGGCCGCAAAATTTAGATTTGACTTGCAGACTGAGAATTGACTTACAGACCAGAAAAAACCAAAATGGAACAAAAATGGCCTGTTATGGGATTAATCGGTTTTCAATGCACTGTAGGTCAATGGAGACTTGACTTACAGACTTTTTGACTTGAGAACCGCCTTCCAATACGGATTAAGTTCTCAAGTCAAGACCCCACTGTATGGGGTAGTATATAAGCAGCATGCTTTGTGTTTGTTTTACCTTAAAAAACCACGTAAAGGTTTACCCATAAGTTAGAAATTACTTGATGGCACAAAAATGTTTTCTGTTTTAATGTCTGTTAAAGCAAATTTTCAAGCAGGAATGTATTTTGCCACTTACTTTAACTCCTTAGCTGAAATCTCTTGTGTAGTTTCCTTTATCACTTCTTCAGCTAATTCTGCACCCAGTGATTCACTCAACATTTTTACTAATTGTTCCTTTTCCTGTTTCTGCCTAAATACATGGTAAAAGAAGAAAAGTAGAATGACAATCAAGCAACACACTTTTACAGAATAAGAACTCTACTATTTCTCATTCAAATGTGTCTCAAGGAGCTAAATGTAAGATTAAGGAATCAAATCTATTTCATATAAAGGTATTTGGTTAAGCAACAAAATAGTGTGATATAAAAGAAGAAAGACTAACTTAAAATCAGATCACTTGTCTGTCTAGCTCAATTCAGATTGCCAGTGGCTCTCCAAGGTTTCGCAGAAATGTTTTCCATTCCTTCTCATAAATTAAAGGGACTAAATCTGGGGATTAACCACATGCCAATCACGAATTCTGCCACTCAACTGTATCACCTCCCTAATCAAGGCCACCTGGTTAGAGAAGTCTAGACCAGAAATGGGTTACCTCCAGAAAAGGCAGGTTACTTACCTGTAACGATAGTTCTTCAAGTGGATCTCTTTGAATTCACACTGCTGGGAGGTAAACTGTGCCTGCGCAGGAATCCTCAGAGTGTTCTAGAGCTTCTAGGAAAAAAGGAAATGACGTAGGCGTTGCCCCCATAGCGGAAGTCCCGCCCGCCCGCCCACGCCAGTTCTATTTTATCCACCACCATGTACTCTGCAGAGCAGTAGTGAAGAGTGACGGACAGAGGGGAGGCAGGGCGGGTAAGTGTGAATTCACAGAGATCCACTTGAAAACCTATCGTTACAGGTAAGTAACCTGCCTTTCTTCAACGTGGTCTCTGTGAATCACACTGCTGGGTGACTGATTAGCTCACTTACCAGATGGAGGGCCGTCACTCTAGCGCTGAGGCGAGGACAGCTCTTCCAAAGGCAGTGTCGTTCTTAGCTCGGAGGTCGAGCTTGTAGTGAGTGATAAACGTGGATGCAGTGGACCACGTTGCTGCCTTGCAAATTTCTGGGATGCCCACCCCGCGCATGAGGGCCGTGGACGTTGCCACAGCTCTGGTGGAGTGTGCCCTGAAGCCTTGAGGGGGGATTGCACCCTGCAGCTGGTATGCCAGCTCTATGGTGGATATGATCCACCAAGAGAGCGTAGATGAAGCTGCTGCGGAACCTTGCCGTGGACCGTGGAAACAAAGGAAGAGTCTGGGGGAAGCACGGATGTCCTTAGTCCTGGTAGTATAGAAAGCCAGAGCCCTCCTGACGTCCAGTGAATGAAGCATGCATTCTGGCTCGGAGGAGGGAGCAGGGAAAAACGCGGGTAGGGAGATTGGTTGGTTCAGGTGGAAGCTGGAGACTACTTTAGGAAGGAACGACGAGTCAGGGTAAAGGACTACCTTCTCCTTGAAGAACTGTAGATAAGGAGAGTCATGGCGCAAAGCCGCCAGTTCACTAGCACGTCTGGCCGACGTGATGGCTACCAGGAATAGGGTCTTAAAAGATAGAAGCTTCATGCTTGTCTTAGCCATAGGTTCAAATGGCGGTCTTGAGAGGGCTTTGAGAACCAGCCATAGGGACCACTGAGGTGTGGGAGACCTCGTTGGTGGGCGTAAGTTCAAGATTCCGCGAAGGAAGGCCTTGACCGTTGGGTGTGAGAACAACCTAGCCGACTCCGACTCTCTCAGTTGAAAAGACACTATCGCTGACAAATAGACCTTCAGGGTGGACGACACTAGGCCCTGATCAAAGAGATGGCGGAGATAGAGCAACAGAGTTTTAAGCGACACTGGTCTGACTGCTAAGTTCCTCGACTGGGCGAATTGGAGGAAGTTCTTCCACTTATAGGAGTATAGTAGTGTCGTCGATGGTTTTCTTGCTTGGCTGAGAACCTCGCGAATTAATGCAGAATCCTCCACGCCGTCAGGTGCAGAGATGGTAGGTCTGGGTGCAACACCTGCCCCGCATCCATTGACAGAAGTTGTGGGATTAGCGGCAACATCAGGAAATCCACTGCCATTTCCCTGAGCGTTGTGAACCATGGTTGGCGTGGCCAACACGGTGCTACCAACATGGCGTCGGCTGTCCTGCTGTATCTTGACAACACTCCTCTGCACCAGGGGGAACGGGGGAAAGAGATAAGAGAAGATGGCGGTTCCAAGGGATCATGAGGCCATCTCCCAGTGACGCCTGTCCCCGCCCCACATGGGAGCAGTAGTGTTCGCATTTCTTGTTGTGCAGTGTGGCGAAGACATCTATTTATTTATTTATTAAATTTATACCCCGCCCCTTTAGACCCTGTCTACTCAGGGCGGCTATCACTGGGGTCCCCCATTTCTGGCAAATCATGCGGAAGGTTAGCGCGCGCAACTCCCACTCGTGAGTCTGTTTGGGCAGCCGACTCAACCAGCCCGCCAGTTCATTTTCTCCAGTCGATATGTGGATTGCGATGGGGAATACATGATGTTTGTAGCACCACTCCCATAGGCGCACTGTAATGTAAAGTCCTGGACTTCGTCCCTCCCTGTTTGTTTATATAGTACATGGTCGTGGTGTTGTCTGTAGCCACTTGGACACCATGACCTTGTACTAGCGCCCTGAAGGCGCGGAATGCTTTTATAACTGCCCATATTTCCAGGTGATTTATGTGCATGCGGTGTTCTTTTGGTGACCAGAGAGCATGCACAGTGAGTCCTTCGCAGTGTGTCCCCCAACCTGTCGGGCTGGCATCCGTGGTGACTTGAGTGGTGAGGCGCAGAGGACGAAAGGGTCTCCCTACAAGGAGATGCAGGAGGGACACCCACCATTCGAGTTGTCTCACCAATTCTCTTGTGACGGGCAGCTGCTTGTGTGCGCTGTCCTTCCTCGGGTCGTAGAGGGCTATGAACCATGCCTGCAGTGAGCGTATCTTTAGGCATGCGTGAGGGAGAGCTGCTTTGGTGGACGCCATTAGCCCTAGGAGGTGCTGGGCCTGTCGGGCCGATACAGTGCGATGACGCCGGAAAACCTGAGTGGCCTTGTGCAGCTTTGTGATGCGCTCCGGTGTGAGGAAGATTCTTGCTTTCGTGGCATCTATTTGAGCTCCTATGTAGTTTATCACCTGGGTAGGAGATAGCTGGGATTTCTTTTGATTCACCTGGAGTCCCAGCTGCCGGAGTGTGTTTAGGACGAAATCGGTGTCGCAGACAGATTGGTGCCGGGATTTGGAGACGATTAACCAGTCGTCTATGTAGGGGTAAATGGAAATGCCGTTGAGACGTAGGTATGCTGCCACTGGCGCCATGCATTTTGTGAAGGTGCGTGGGGCTGTGCACAGTCCAAAAGGGAGAGCGCAGAATTGAAAGGCAGAATTTCCGAAGAAAAAATGGAGGTACTTCCTGTAGCGTTGGTGAATGGAAATATGAAAATAGGCGTCTTGTAGATCTACCACCGTGAACCAGTCTCCACGACGTAGTAGGTAGACAATCGCCTCCAGAGGAACCATTCGGAAGCGACAGGGGCGGATGTAGGCGTTCAGGTGCTGCAGATCTAAGATGTGTCTGATTCCTCCGTCCTTCTTTGGTACTGCGAAGTAGTGGGAGTAAAAACCCTTTAGAGCTGAGCGGAGTGGGACTCTTTCTATGGCTCCTTTTAGAAGGAGCGTTTTGACCTCTTCTTCTAGGGCTGGTGAGTATGAAGTGTATTGGATGCGACCCAAGGGAGCATGTTTTAGGAATTCTAATCGATAGCCGAATTGTATTATACTTAACACCCACCTGTCGTTTGTTATGGATTGCTAATTCGGGAGGAAGGGGGCTAGGCGGGTAGGTGTTGAGATGCTTGAGTCAAAGATACTGCTTTTGCTTTTTTGCAGGTGGCCAGTAGGATGACCTGCGGTGGGGCACTGTTTCTGGTCGAAAGGGAGCGTTCGTGGTGGACTGCTGAGACGACCTGGGAATATCCTGGTGCCTGTAGGGACAGAAGGCCTGATTAGCCGAAATGGATTGAAAATGCTGTTGGCCAGGGGGCCACCGCCATAGGTACCTCTGGTATTTGGGTTGTTGCTGGATGGTGTTTGATTTCGCAGTCTTCTTAATTTTGTGAAGGTTCTCCATCTTATCGTCTGTTCCCTCATTTAAAAAGTCCTTTGACATCGAAAGGGAGCTCTTCTATGTGAGATTTGGCTTCCTCTGTAATCTCTGAGGAGCGCAGCCACGCATGCCTTCTTAAGCCGACAGAGGAGACCATGGATTTTGATGCCACATCCGCTACAGTAGCCAGGCGCTAATGCTTGGTTACTGTAAGGGCCTCCATGTATGTGTTGATGAGCATAGGCCTCAGCTTGGATGGCGCTCCCTCTAGAGCAGGTAGAGCGCGTGCCCACAGCTGGTTCTGATACACACCCATTGCAGCCTGGTAGTTTGCCACTCTGAGGAGGAAGGCTGCGAACGAGTAGAGCTTCCGGCCGAGGACATCCAGCTTGAGCCCCTCTCTGTTAGAGGGCGTGACTTTTGAGCGTGATGCAGATCTGGAGAAGTTGGACTGGACGGTGATGGAGTTAGGAGTAGGGTGGTTCAATAAAAACTCAGCATCTTCATCGTGTGTGCGGTAGAGCGTTTCCAACCGCCTTTTGATCTGCGTGGAGTTGGGTGGGAGGGACCACGATTCCTTGACTAGATCCATGAGGGAGGGAATAAAGGCCAGGCTGAGTGGAGTTGACTTATCCTGGGTAATGTCCCCAAATACTAGGTCTTCCTTTGGTTTTGGGGGTTCCTTGGCCTCCAATTTCAGTGCCTTGGCCATCCTTGCCAGCATCTGTGTATGAAGTAAAATCCTCCCCTGGGGCCGCATCCTGAATGTCAGCAGGGTCTGATCCAGAAGATGCATCCTCCTCGTGAGAACCATCAGGTTCTTCTGAGTAATCTCCCTGCTCAGGGTCCAAAGGAACTGGGGAGAGAATACCGTCTTGCCCAGGGTGTTGGGGTGCGCGTGACGCTTTGCTGGGATGGGCGTGTGGAAGGGCCCCCAGCGCTGCGTTAGTGTCTCTTCCCTTCCTCCTCCCTTCCTGTGTTGGTGGTGCAGGGGGAGAGGGAGGGTAAATATTGTAGTGTTCATCCCTCCTATGGTTCACTCTCTTGCTGTGATGGAAACGCTCCCTATGCCGAGGAGGGGAGGGAGAGGAGGAGGGGGACAAGGCCGAGGAATAGGGGCATCGGACCCTCCTGCATTGCCTGCCCCTCTGGAAGTCAGCAGAGTAATCTAGGGATGAGTCGTCCCTCGCTCTGCAGCGTCGGGAGCCCTTGGGGTCTATTTCAATATAGATAGGGTCCTGTAGTGGTGATCTGTTCCGGCGCCGCGGTTGTCGGTGCCCCGGGGACACGTGCGTCCTCTTCTCTGCATGTTTTTGTGGGGGGGAGGATCGCCCAGACGAGGTGGATGGCGAGTGAGGAGGGAACGCCCGCCTGGCTAATGCAGGGCCAAAAAGGGCAGGAGCCACGCTAGAATGGGTCCCACCCTCTAGCTGGCTAGGTGGAGGCGAGCTAGGCTGGGGTGCAAGCGCCTCCGTTCTCCTGTGCAGGAGAGGCTCCACCACATTGGGGCGGTGGTCGCGGCCCCGCGGGCAGCTCTCGAGCAGCAGAGGAGGAGGCGAAGCTGGGGGTGGGGGTATCTCCCGGTGCCCCTCTTTCGCCGCTGGTAGGTGATCCGGCGGATGTCCCTTGGATTTCTTGGAGCCCTCTCCCAGGTTAGCCAGAGCCTTAACGGGGGGCAGTTTGGCTCCCGCTTTGAGGGCAGGTTTCTTTTTCTGCTTCGCTGGGGCCTTATGCGCCTGCAGTGGTGGTGGCGGGGTGGTAGCTTCCTCAAAGCATGGGGTCCCCAGGGGAGAAGCATCCCGCTCCATTCTCTTGGTAGATAAGTAATAGCCCTGCCCCAGAGATAGGCCCCAGCCTCTAGTGTGGAGTTAGAGGAGGGGGGGCTTGTTAAAATTGTTGTAAAGGCCGTCCAGATGGAGTAAACAGGGCCGGGAGGGAGGGGGGGACTGGAAGGGGGACTCACGATGCCGGGTTGTCCAGAGGAGGTCCGAGGTCTGCCGGGGGAGTCAGTCCGAAAAATGCAGTTCCAAAAGCGTAGTCGACAGTCCGAGTCAGTCCAAGGGGGTAATGCAAGTAGTAGGCAAAAACCCAAAGTAAAGTAGGCCGAGTTCGAAGCCGAGAATGCCGAAAATAACACAGAGCTCTAGATGAGGATCCTCTCGCAATGGCGGAGAAAATAGAACTGGCGTGGGTGAGCGGGACTTCCGCTATGGGGGTAACGCCTACATCATTTCCTTTTTTCCTAGAAGCTCTAGAACACTCCAAGGATTCCTGCGCAGGCGCAGTTTACCTCCCAGCAGTGTAATTCACAGAGACCACGTTGAAGAACTTATCCTTTGAACTTGAAGAGCTGCTCTCATGTACTGTCTCCCCTCAAAATATTTTTCCTTTAAAAAGGTCTTTAAAAATCTCTGAAGTCGTCCCTCTGCATGATCTCTAGCAGCACAGTTCTTAATGTTTGCAGAAAATTAAAAAAAAGAGTGAGGGGGCAAAATATGACAGAATAGTCATGCGAGAGCAAAAGGGGACTTTCTGAGTAAAATTAAAAAATCAAATTAAATTACATGGAAAAAATTTAAAAAATAAAAATGAGGGAGATTTGGGGGGCCCATTTGGGAAGTACAAAAGGAAATTTCTCAAGTGTTGGTAACAATATCCTATCACAGCAGGATTTTTCCCGTCTCCATGATTTCCAAATTATTTCACTTTGGTTTGGAAACAGTCTTCAGGACATAACAATGTTCTAATTTTCTTTCTGAGAAAGTTTAATTTCTCAGAAAGACTGTCTCTGTCATATATCTTGAAAAACAATGCGATTTCATCTCTAATGACGGATTACCTATAATCAAGGTTCTCTCTAAACCATGCACGAGTGTGACTCTGCCTTCCTCCACACAGATTTCTTCCTTCTCTGTGCAGTGGTCATTTTCAGATCCCTTTGGTTTTGGTCACAATGGACCCTTGCATATGCAAGGGTGAAGTTGAGTGTGAGAGGGGCGGAGCCTTGCCCAGCATGGCTGAAAATTAAAGGGTACATTGCCTATAATGTATAGGTCACCCTGAAATCATATGCAAAATTCGCTGTTAAAGCTCACCTAATACACCAACAGGCAGATTCTTACTGTACAAAAAGGCTAATGTGCAAAATGTACACAGATTACTTACAGACATCAGTGAAGCCAGTTGGTGTGTGTGAAGGAACAGCAGGAGAAGGCAGAGCCCATGCAGTCAGATTCTCCTACCATAGTATTTCAGCTCATTTTCACTGCTCAAATATAACAGTATTTGAACATCTGTTTGAACTCTTCTACAACTATGGCTAATTGAGTTAGTAAAAGAAATACAACCTCTGGTCTCACAGCTTCATTACAAATGCTAAAGGAAGTTTACCTTTCTTTTTCAGCCTGACGTTTTTCTTCTTCAAACTTCTCTTTTTCTGTGTCAATTATTACAACAGATGCAATTTGCCCCAAAAGATTTAGCATCACTTCTGTCATGAGTTCATCTGAAACTGCATTAGAGATCCTGCATTAGGAAACAAAAACACAGTGAAGACTGAGTAGAAAGAACTGGCAGTGTTAATAGTTTTTCTTATCTCTCAAAGTGTGTTTTTATTGTTTTCTACAGCCAGGTTACTGGGGTTAATTCAATGTTAACAAGACAATTTTGACCCTTCCACACTACATTTAACAACATAAATTAATATCATAATTATGTAACAGAAGGTGTAAGAAATCATCATTGACCCAACTGCCAAAAAACTTATCACAGTATGGTATATACAATAAGATTCTCACTGGATTCTAGTGACCTGAAACCATAGGTGTTAATGGGTACGTAACCTAACTACCTGACTGCAGGATATTCTGTGACCAATGTAGCATTTGTATCACTGAATTTTGACAAGGTAGCTGCCTAAATTTTGTTCAGTGTTTAAATGGGCTTTCGGAGAAACTGCAGGTAAAATGCTAATTTGTTAGCCAGAATCCGGAAAATAACCTTCTCTTGTAAGACATGCTAACGTTTAGATACAAAAAGGAGGAGAAAGGACAACAAAACTAAATGGGATCACTCCTTGGTTTCCCTCTACAGTGGTGCCTCAGAAGACGATTTTAATTCGTTCCGTGAAAATCGTCGTCTTGTGAGGTTCCCTATGCATCGGTCTCAAAAAAAGCAAGAATATGTCTAGCGAAGCATGGGTCTAAAAAAAAAAGTCTTGCGAAGCATGGGTCTAAAAAAAAGTCTTGTGAAGCATGGTTATAGAAAAAAGCGTCTTGCGAGGCACCATAGTGATCGCAAAAACCAATCGTCTTGCGGGTTTTTCGTCCCACGACGCAATCGTCTACCGAGGCACCACTGTAAATCTGAGGAGCTGCCCAATTTGACACTTTGGCTTTACTAGTGCAGAAAATTATTATGCTATATAAAAGTTACTTACCTGTAACTGGTTCTTCGAGTGATCCTCTGTGAATTGGCACTAATGGGTTAATCTGCGCTTGAGCAGAGCAGTTTCAGAAACTTTCAGAGCTTTAAGCACTTAGTGCTGGGACCTCCCCTACACCAGCTATATAACTCCGTGCCCGGCACCAGTGCCTCAGTTCTAAGAACAGACGGCCGCTGCCCAGCATACCATGGCACATGTGAGGGACAGTGCGGAGGAGGGCGGGACGTGTGAATGCACAGAGGACCACAATAAGAACCAGAGTTACAGTTAAGTAACTTCTCTTTCTCCCTCATGGCCTCTGTGAATACACACTAATGAGTGACTGGCAAGCTGACTAACCAGGAGGAGGGACATCATGAAAGTGCAGAAGCCAGGACAGCTCAACCTACTGCAGCCTGAGCCTTCGGACAGACATCCAGGCAGTAGTGCGAGATGAAGGTAGATGGAGCAGCGCATGTGGCAGCACGGCAGACATCCACAATGTCCATCCCACAGAGGAAGGCCATTGAGGATGCTATAGGCCTAGTAGAGTGAGCTCTCAATAATTTTGGAAGAGGAGTCTCTGCCAAATCATAGGCAAAACGGATGGTCTGGACTATCCATCTAGAGATGGTCTGAGAGGAAGCTGGTGCTCCGGAGGAGGGACCAGCAAAGGTGATAAAGAGACCACGAAAAGTGGTCCTGCAATGCACATATGACAGAGCACGCTTCACGTCTAGAGCGTGCAGAGCTGTGTCAAGTGAAGATGGTGTCGTAATGAATGAGTGTCACTCTGCTTGTTTATATAATAAAATGCAGCGGTATTGTCCGATGTGAACTGGACCACCCGCCCACGAAATAGGGGCCCGAAGGACTGAAAGGCCTTGGTAATTCCCAGGAGCTCCAGCCCATTGTTATGGAGGCTGGCTTCTATCGTGGACCAGCAGCCATGGGCAACATGGTGGCGTAGAAGACAAGCCCCCCACCCTGTAGCCTGACAGCTGGCATCCACAGTTAAGAGAGCAGGCATAGGCATCCTTCAGTCTCGAGAGACTATGGTAACATGCTCTGAATCGAGGAGTGTCCGCTCCAGAGCATGAAGCCCGGGTAAGGTAATATGGAGGATAGGCTGTTACCCAAGCAGCAGATCCCCCCTCTCCACATTGCTGAAATGGTCCAATGGAAAGGCAAGAGCCAATACAACTGGTTCCAGCAATGTCGCAGGAGTTGGCAGAACGACACATGCTGCCTTCAGGACTCCAGCTCCGGATTTTGCCTCAAGGTTAACTCCTGAAGCCTTTTCCATTAGTGGATATAGCCACAAGGCAGTGGAGGTTTGAAATTGGAGTTTTCCTTCTCCTAGATGGGCTGCCTTCCATGGCTGACGAGCCCCACCTACCCGGCCTGCTCTTTAATAGTGCAAAAGTATGATCTGATCCTAAAAACTTTCCTGACTACCCGGCTAATGCAAATCTCATTGGCTTTCCTATTTACCATATTAAGGCCAGATATAAAATTTGAGAATTTTAACGGTGCGCGGTCCTGAAACACACTATTTTAAAGCAGGAAGTCCCACCCCTAGGCTCCACCCCCAGGCCATGTGCTCAGGAGACAAAAAGAAAGCCCAGGAAAAAAAAACTCAGCTGCTGCTAAGAGAGCAAAGGGTCTCCCAATACGTAAGTTGGGGGGTGGTCCCCACCAATCCAGTTATGCAGCAAGTTCCGGAGTTTCCTGAAGCAGCATGGATAGGTGGTTGCAAGTTATTTGAAAAAGAGAAACCAGGCTTGAAGGGATCACATCCTCAGTCGAGCATGCTGTTCCACAGCTGTGGTAGGTGCCATTAGCCCCAGAAGTCGCTGGACCTGTAGGACAGGGACCCAAACACCTGAAGAAAAGGAGCATAACAAATCATGCATTTTCACAGGAGTTATCTGGGGGGAAAAGCCTGCTTCAAGAAATCATCGAAAGTCCCATCAATACAATTTAGACATTGTGTAGGTTGCAAATCCGACTTCTCTATGTTGACTTTAGTCCTAACACTGACAAAACAGATAGTGATTCCCTCAACTGAAACCCTGAGAAAGTGTTGATGATCTGACCGGATGCTAGTATGAAAATGAGCATCTTATAGTAAACCAGCTCCCTGGACGTAACATGTGAATAACAAAGTCCAAGGAAGCCATACGGAATCTACGTAGAGTAATAAAAAAATTCAGGCTTCCAAAATCAAGGATGGGCCAGAGGCCTTCATCCTTTGAGGGGAGGGGGTTTTAAGGGTGGTCTTAATGTGAAGGAACATCAATTAGAAAGACAAGGGGTCAAACAGACTGATTGGTCAACGAAAGAGAAATCAGGTGCAGTAAAGAGACTGCTTGGTCTTGCGGTCTTGCCTGCGGTTTTGTTGATCAGAACTCTGCCTGCCCACATGTCTGGGGGGTGGCAGTTGGTAACTTTGGGGCTGGGTCCTTTGACATTCCCGGGATGCCCCAGGCTGGTAGAAACAACTCCAGATACTTGCAGTTGCCATGCTGCAAATGACCATACTGCCATTAAAGCTTGAACAGGTCATCAAGAATAAAATCAGTTTTTGGACCAAAAAGCCCTATACAGTGGTGCCTCGTTTAACGATTACCTCGTTAAACGACGAATCCACTTGACGGTGAGGTTTTTGCAATCACAAAATGATGTTTCAATGGCCAATAATCGCTTTACGACAATCGGTTCCCTGCTTCGGGAACCGGTTCTTCACATTACAACAATGTGAAAACAGCTGATTGTCGGGTTTCAAAATGGCTGCCTGCTGTGCAAAATGGCTCCCCATTGTTTTTAGGAGGCATTTTTCGCTCTAGAGGCATCAGAAAATGGCCGCCCTATGGAGGATCTTCACTGGACGATTAGGTATTTAGCCCATTGGAACGTACTGAACCGGTTGACGAGGATTTCTTTCTACAGCGATTTTGCTGGAACGGATTATCCTTGTCAAGTGAGGCACCACTGTACCATCAAATGGCAGGACTTCAGCCCGCCAGTTGTTTGAATCTTGGTTTAAAGGCATGCCAAGCAGTAATGCACTCATGACACACCAGCCCCATTGCCCCCTGGTGATATGGGAGGCCTTAACTGTAAAGGTGCACAGGAGCTACCTGCAGAATGGGCAATGACAAATTCCCTAAGTGGTGATGATAAGCACCCACGGCAATGGAGCAATTGACTACATGGTGGCCAGAAAATAAAAACACCGACCAAAGAACTCCTTATTGGGGATATGAAGAGCAACCTGCTAACAGTAAAGGAGGGTGATTATCTGTGGCAACTGATATGGATGTAGAAAGATAGGTTGGAAAATCTTTCTCCCCTTCTGACTCATGTGAGTCACCGGCCTGAATAAGGCAAGTCCTTCTGATGATTAGGGCAGAAGTCTTTCTTAGCATGAGCCTGACCAAGATCAGTCTCAACACAGTTCATGGGACAGAGAAGGCTGAATGGGTTAACAGCGGGTTCGATCAAACCTGTGGATACTTTGCTTCCGGAGCCAAGTTCGAGGGAGCACTACTCCTTCGAGGCACAGATGGAGGCACAAAGCACTCCTTAGCCCGTGGCTCAGTGCCAGGTGAAGTGGGGCTGCAGAAAAAGCTCACAGCTCCTATACCAAATAAAGGGGACTGGTCCAGCACAAACTTGTCAGCATGACAGGACCCTCCTGAGGAAAATTACTTGGGTCTACTTGACAGTGGCAGGGTTCTTGGGTTGACTCCTGTGAGTCCTTTCCCAATGAGCCTACGCTGGTGCTGGCGGCAGAGGTGGAGCCGCAGGTTGCTATTGGTAAAAGAGGGCTGTTTTGTGCCAAATTATCAGCCACCAAAGAGGTGTTACCCCAGTCAGGCATATCACTGACTAGTGGGGCTAGCAGTGGAAGCTGTAGGACCCGCCCCTTTTTTTCTAAAGGCAAAGCTAGGGCTGCCAAATGTTGCCAGAAAGCTCTTGCTTTGGCATTGGAAATAGCAGCTGTGTGAACGAGCCCATTGATAAATGAGGGCTTTTTTATGCCAAACCACCAAAAAAGTCTTACCCCAGTCAGGAATATCATTTACTGGTTGGGTTG